CGCTCCCGGCCACAACAGCCTCGACCTGCTGGGCTCTGGCGATCCTTCTGCCTCAGCCTTCAAAGTAGCCAGAATTACAGGCATGCGCTACCACGCCCGGCTGATTTTTTGATTTATTGTAGAGATGAGGTCTCGCCAAGTTGCCCAGGCGGGTCTTGAACCAGCCAATCCACTCACTTCAGCCAATTCACTCACCTCAGCCAATCCACTCACCTCAGCCTCCCAAAAGCACGGGATTACTGGCTGAGCCACTGAGCACGGCTGACAAGTGAGAATTTTAAGAAGGGAGTGGGAAGGGGGAGTCACATGATCGGATATGGATTTTGGAAAGATCGGTTTGGCTGCATTATGAAAGAATAAAAGAAGGGTAAGAATATCTGTGGAAAGTTTTTAGGATTTTTTGGGATGCAAGTACTACAGTTCTGGGCACAGATAAGGGTTGTCTTAAACTGGAGTGATGATGGAGGAATTGCAGGGAAGAACTGATAAGTATTTAGGAAATGAAGCCCAATTATGGGCTGTGGAGAAGGGAGGAAGAGGAAATGTCAAGAATGATGCCTAGATTTCTGGCTCTGGAACTAGACAGATGGAGTGGATGCTGCCATCCACCGAAATTCAGAACCTAAATGTCACCCAATCTGAATGAGATGACAATGAATTGTTCGGGTGTGAGGTACCTTTGAAACCTCACTATCATAGGAGGAAAGACGGACAAGTGGATTTAGAGGAAGCCTGGAAGTTACTAGCATATCATTGATCACATGAGTGCGAATGAAAGTACCTTGGGCAAATGAATAGATTAAGGAGAGAAGGTGTTCAGGCGCTGAGTTGTAAGGAACTTCAATAAGTAGTGGTTGGGAGGAGGGGACCCTGCAAGGGAGGCAGGGTAGTGGGTTGCAGGAGAGCCACACAGTGTGGTGCTGAGAGCTGGGGAAGGATTGTGTTTCAAAAAGGACGGGGGAGACTTTCAGTTCCAAAATGGCAATGTAGAAGCACATTTGCCGCACTGTCCCCCAACAAAAAATCAAAACCAAATATGCCGTGCTGAGATTTTCACCAGCAACAACACTGAAATCAAATATGAGGATGAGACAGTTCCTGGGACCATAGAAATGTGCAAATTCTGAAAAGATGGTAATAAAATCAGTCTTCCACATCTTTGGCATCCCTCTCCCATGCTATCTAGCACCAAGCATGTGGAAAATTTTCCCCCAACCATTTCTATACTAGAAAAAGTAAAATTGAAGTGATCAGCCAGCTTCCCCACATCTGTAGTTTCTTGGCAGGAGACCTGTCCTCGCTTTAACTGTGGGAAGCATTGTGACTGCCTGAAGGGTGAAATGTCCCTGAGAACAGGCAGAGACAAAAGAGGTAGGTGGGACTACCAACCCCAGCCCTGGAAACTCTGTTCTACAACTCAGTCAAAGGAGATGCCAATCAGAGTGGCTGTTCAGAAGCACCACGTTACAGGAGGTACATGCTACAGGCCCCTTGGGTACAAATCCCCAGCAGCCTTTCTACACAGCCAAGATAATCTCTGGGCCCTTCATTCATTTGGGACACTGCAATCCACTGCAGTGACCCAGCAGTAAAGATTCACTAAACAAATATATTCAATAAAACTCCAAACAAGCCAGACAGAGAAAACTGCAAGGCAGACATAGATATATATTTATAAGGAACAACAGCAAACAGAGAACCATGACCTCCAAAAAGGATAAGAAAAAAAAACTTTTTGGTCTTTTTGTGAGTAATTTGTGAATTCTCTGAACAGGAATTCAAAACAGTGGTTTTAAGGATCCTCAGTGATCTCTAAGATAACAAAGAAAAGCAATTAAGAAGTTTATCAGAGAAATTTAACATAAAGATTGCAATAATAATAATAATAATACTAAAACAGAAATCTTGAAACTGAGAAATACCTTTGCTGAACAGAAGAATTCATTAGAAGTTCTCAACATCAAAGTGAACCAAGAAGAGGAAAAAATCAGGGAGCTCAAAGACTGGCTATTTAAAATATACAGTCAGAGAAGAAAAAAAAAGAATGAAGATTGCCTATAAGATATAAAAAATTACCTCAAGAGACACAATCTAAAAATTATTGAACTAAGCAAAAGTAAGGGGTAGAAACTTTATTTGAATAAATATAATGAAAATGTTCCAAAGCTTGAGAAAGATATAAACATCCAGGTACAGAAAGCTCTGAGAATACAAAACAGACTCAATCTAAATAAGACTATCTCAAGGCATATAATAATCAAACTCTGAAAATTCAAGGACAAAGAGAAGATCCTAAAAACAGCATGAGAAAATAAGCAAATAACATAAAAAGGAGCACCAATTTGTCTGGTCACAGATGTCTCAATGGAAATCAGGCCAGGAGGAAGTAGAATGCTATTTTCAAAGTGTTCAAAGAAAAAAAAAAATGCCAACTAAGAACACTGTATCCAGCAAAATTATTCTTCAAACATAAAGGAGATATAAATTCTTTCTCAAAAAAAAGTTGAAAGAATTCATCACCACCAGACCTGTCTTAAAAGAAATGCTAAAGGGAATTCTTCTACCTGAGAGATAAAGTCTTTCTCTGACCAAAAAAAACCCAAAAAACAAAAGCTGAAAGAATTCACCACCATCAGACCTGTCTTACAAGAAATGCTAAAGGAAGTTATTTAATTCGAAATTTAAAAAATACTAATGTACAAAAAGAAAACTTTTTAAGGTATAAAATGCACTGGTAAAATCAAGTACATGAACAAACCCAGAATATTCTATTACTGTCATTGTGGTGTGCAATCGACTCATAATTCTAGTATTAAGCCCCAAAGACAAATCTATCAAAAAAAATAGTTACACAGCAACAGCAACATGCTAGGAGATAGATTACATAAAAATATGTAAATTGGGACACCTAAAAGTAAAACAATGGGAGAATGGAGTTAAACTGTGTAATTTTTTTGCATTTTTTGCACTTGTTGGTATCTAATTTTCTGTGATCCAAAATAAGTTGTCATCTCTTTGAAGTAACTTATTATATTTTTGTAAACCTCAATCATAATGTAAAAAACCTATAATAAATTAACAAAAAACAAAAAGTAACATATTACAACATGCTGCCAGAGAAAATCACTTAGCCACAAAGGAAGACAGCAAAGCAGGAATAAAAGAAGAGCAGAGTCTCAAAATGACCAGAAAACAAGCAACCAGATGGCAGTAGTAAGTCCTTATTTAAAACAACACTGAATGTAAATGATCTCAGTTCTCCAATTAAAAAGCATACAATGGCTGAATGGGTAAAGAAACGAGAATGAACATATGCTGCCTTCAACAAATCCACTTAATCTATTAAGACCCACATAGACCAAAAGTGAAGTGAAGAAGTGGAAAAAGATAGTTTGTGTAATTGGGAACCAAAAAAGATCAGGAATACTAATGTGCAAAAAAAACTTTTTAAGATATAAAATGCATTGGTAAAATTAAGTACATTAACAAGCCCAGAATCCTCTATTACTGTCATATGCTTATACCACATAAAATAGACTACCTATCTGAGACTGTAAAAAAAGACAAAGAAGGCAATATATGATAATAAAGGAGTCAATTCAGCAAGAGAATACAACAATTATAAATATATGTATATGTACTCAACACTAGAGCTCCCAAGTATATTAAGCACACATAAATAGACATAAAAGGAGAGATAGACTGTAATACAGTAATAGAAGGGAACTTTAACATCCCACTCCCAGTAATGAACAGATCCTCCAGACAGAAAATCAACAAAGAAACAGAGGAGTTAAATTATACTAGATCTAGTAGGCCTAACTGACAGTTACAGAATATTTCATCCAGCCACTACGTTATACATTCTTCTCATCAGCATATGCAACAGTCAACAGAACAGACCATATCTTAGGCCTGAAACAAATCTGAACAATGACAAAAAAAGCAGAAATCTTATCCAGTATCTTTTCTGACCACAATGACATAGAAATCAATAGCAGGAAGAACTATGTAAAAGATACAAACACATGAAAATTACAAATGTTCCTGAACAACCAATGGGTCAATGAAGAAATTACGAAGGAAATTTACAAATTTATTTAAATAAATGAAAAAAGAAATACAATATACCAAAATCTATGGAATTTAGCAAAAACAGTCCTAAGAGGAACGTTTATAGCAATAAACATCTATATCAAAAAAGTGGAAAGACTTCAAAGTAACAAACAAATAATGTACTTCAAGGAACCAGAAC